AAACATTTTTTTTAAATCAGTTTAAATGGCCGTTACTAGCTAAATTTATTGTCTTAGTCATGGGAAAAAAGCTCGTCAACGAACATTTTTCGTCATAGTCTTCGTTAACAACTAATTCAGAATGATGAAAATGTGATTTCATTGACTAAAACTTGACTAAAATGCTCATACATTTAATTGAATAAACAAAAACAGGACAAGGTTGTCTAAATATGATAACTAAAATGTACATCTGAGTAAGACTAATACTACATTAAAAATGGCTGCCAAAATTAATACTGTACGGTTAATTAATAATAATCTTATTGCTAAATGTCAAGTTTTCATGGACTAAAACTAGACTAAAATACTTCAGGTTTTCTTCCACTAAAACTAGACTAAAATGTTGAGACTTTTAGTCGACTAAAACTAAATAGGATAACTTTGACTAAATATGATAAAAACTAACAAGGACATTTTAACACAGGACTAAGACTAAAATGAAAATAGCTGACAAAATTAACACTATTTTGAAGTGCACATTGAATGTTCTGTTCTGTATATTGCAAAAATTAGGGTAGATACTTAAGTTGTACTTGGAATAGTTCCACTTTAGCACAACAAAGTATGTTACAGACCCTGTACAGAAGGCCATGTGGACAGATTAGAAAGTCCCTGTAAAAACAGGAAAAAACAGGAAGACCGGAGCAAACGTGTCAACGTCGCTCGCACATAATCCCCAGCAATTGTTTATTCAATGTTTTTTTTTCTTTCACATTTTTTCAACATTTGTTTCCCATTCACCAATAAACCAATTGGTTTCACCAATAAAGTATATTCCTTTTTTTTTTATTATTAATATTGCACAAGTGTCATTCTTTTTCTCTATTCTAAACACAATGCACTTTTCACAGTTACATTTTTCCTTTTTCCCACACAAACTGATACATTTGAGCTTTTCACCTTGCTCATTTAAATCTACTCAGACAAATCAAAAGGTATCTTATATCATGTCTTATGCATATCAAATCATCACACATGTCTGAACATGTAAGGCCTAAGAACCTGAGAAATATATGTAAACCATACACATTTGACATTTTAGTTACTGATTTTATAATCAAGGCTGCCATCATGTTACATTAACATACATTTTTCCCTCTGCATTGGCAGGAAATAGAATTACATAACATTTGTTTGCACTGGAATGTCTGTTTGAACCATTATACACAACATGAACTTTAAAGGGGTCATATAATGTTGCTAAAAAGAACATTATTTTGTGTATTTGGTGTAATGCAATGTGTTTATGCCGTTTAAGGTTAAAAAAACACATTATTTTCCACATACTGTACATTATTGTTTCTCCTCTATGCCCCGCCTTTCTGAAACACGTCGATTTTTACAAAGCTCATCGGTCTGAAAAGCGAGGTGTGCTCTGATTGGCCAGCTATCCAGTGCGTTGTGATTGGCCGAATACCTCAAGCGTGTGAAATGTTACACCCTACCATATTGTGATGCCCTGTCCGCCCGGAGCGACGAGACATAAACATGAAAACCCATTATAAACGAGGCATTTGTTGCATCCAGTGGGGATATAATTACGCATTATAATGACTTGTACTGTCTTTTTACGCGTTGCATTGCGTATCGCGCTGCGTAAACATAAAACCATGTCTGCATTTGTGACCGGAGAAACAACAAGCCCTACTCTACACTGCCCAAAACTCGCGATTGAATCATCAGTGGCAAATAATTTAAATATAAAAAACGTTCTTACAGGCTGTGAGTCAGAAGCGCCAGACTGTCCTTACAAAGTTGGAA